TTTGTTTGTCTGTCTGTATGTCCGCATTGCAACGAAATTTTGTCAGAGGTAAGCTCAGCAATGGCTTATTGTAGACTTTTGATATTTTGACATTATATTAAGGTTTGCTTGACTTAAAACATAGGCTTTAAATGAAAACAAAATATTATGTATAACCAAAGTTATGAATCCTTGAGTAATTTGTCTCGAGATCTCGGTTAATGTTCATAATAAATGTTAATAATAAACACATGTTTATAGGTTAAAGATCATCTATATAAATAAAATAAATGTTTTGTCTGTACATTGAATAGAATCAACCCGTTTCTTGTTATCTTTCCGTTTCATAAATTACTGACACTAAATCCACTTTAAAAAAAAAAATGTATCTACCTGGATGTCCGCATTGTCCAACGAAATTTTGTCAGGGGTAAGCTCGGCAATGGCTAATGGTAGACTTGTGAAATTTTGGCATTATATTTAGGTTTGCTTTAATTAAAATATAGGCTTTAAATGAAAACAAAATATTGAGTAGAACCAAAATTATGAATTCTTGACTAATTTGTTTAGAGATCCCGGTTAGGTAATTATTTACTTCAATTCCCATCCCAACCTACTCTATCGCGAGCCACATTTAAAAGTTGCACTACTCAACTGAAATTGAATATGGACCCTCCCCTCCATAATCCAAAATCCATCTCAAAAAAAGATTCTCAAATTTTAACTATACACCCAGCTACATCAGCTAGTATAAAATAAGTAAAATATGTCTTGAAAAAAAAAATGATATTTATGAATACAAAAAATCTAATTTGGCTCAATATTAGCCAAGATACAGTAAAACTTGATATAAGATTTTTCACCCAAAGCTTTATAGACTAGGAGCTAACGACCATTTCATTTAACGGAAGGACTTAAACCAAGTCATAAAACAGTTTTTAAGTGTTTAATATTTTATGTTAGATATAAAAGTTGCGTGGAGTTCACGCATAGCAGCACCGTCGTGCGGGTTTCCGGATACTACGCCCTAATCCCCCAGGCAGATAATTTTTTTTCTAGCTGTTCAGGAATTAAGTTTTCAACTATTCTCTTCTTTAACAATTTCTGTCTTTCATACATCTTTTTCAGTTGTATAATTTGAGAAATTGAGGGTTGGTCTGCCGTTAGGCGGACAGGGGATAACCCCCTAATGTATATAAATATATATTAACCCTCCTATTCCAATTCCTATCCCAAAAACAGTCAGATAGTTGCTAACCATGTTCGACTAACATACATTTATTTCATGCCATTCATTGTCAAATATCAATGCTAAATGATAATGTTAATCAGGCACTTTATATTGTCAGATTCAGCTTTCTGTTTTCTCAACTGAAACACAAAGCTTATTTTAATAAAGAATTTAATATATTTTTATTTTTTAATTCTTTATTGTTTTCTTAAAAGTGTATACTTTTATTGTATAATTGTATCAGTGCAAATAGCTTTAAGTGTCTTGTCATAGTGTTAATTGTTTTGTATATAGTCTGGTTTGTTTTGTATATAAAATGTTTACCTTATATTTTCTTTACATTATTTCTTTTTTCGATTGATTTTATTTTGGCCAGATGTAATCTTTTTTAATTTTGTTCTATTTTGTTATTCTCTAGGGACTGTGTCTCAGAATAAAGTTATTTTCTATCTATCTATCTATCTATCTATCTATCTATCTATCTATATATATATATATATATATATATATATATATATATATATATGTGTGTGTGTGTGTGTGTGTGTGTATATAGATTTTTTCCCTAGTCTCTATTGTGTAATTTTTTATTACTACATACTATCAACAAGAGACAGTTAATTATTAATTATTTCATAATTAATTAATTCAATTATTTCAAACCAACTAAACTAAAGGTTCTTCAAAGACATTTTATGTTGATAAAAGTAATTTGATCAAAATAGTTTGAGCCGTTTTCGAGGAAAATTTAAAAATGTGTGAAATCGATGATATAAATTGGCTTTTATGGTTTGTCAATTTTACCCAAAAAAGTTGTTGCTTTATATATTTATCTTACTTGCCGCATTTTAGTTTCCTAGCACTTTCCTTTTTGAGCAAGGCTGTTTAAATACAGACCGCTATGTGAGACAACTATTTGAAACGTGTATCACCGTGGAAAACTTAGATTAGAAATGTTTCACGATCGTAATACTTTCCCTTATTATATATTTTATATATAGCAGAGGAAAAGTAAAAATATGATGAGGAAAATTATTGCGATCGTAATTTTGGAATCTGAATTTGCAACGGAAATACAAATTTTAATATCACCTGAGTCTAAATAATTAAATCTTCCAAAATAGTTCGGGTGTATGTGTGTGTGTGTGTGTGTGTGTGTGTGACCAAAGAAATTCGAAAAAGATAAATTTATATGAAACTGAAATTACTATTTCAGGTAGTTATATACCGAAGGTGTTAGAGCATCTTTTAAGATAAAAACGAGATAAAGTACCACTGCATATCATCGATTGTACACTGGTTTATATAGCACGCCTGCACGGGCAGATCTACGGGGGGGGGGGGGGGCTTGCCGGCTGAAGCCCCCTCCCAAAATGGAAAAATATAACCATGTTTTATGGGAAAAAATTTTAAAAATACCTCTTAAAGTATTATTGTTCGTGTAATTAAATTTAAAAGTACTTAAGGAATAACTTAAACACCATTTCATATAGGTAGTTAGTTTCTTTCTGTTTTTCCAAAGTAATTGTCGTTATTTTTATGAAAAAAAAAGGTTTCGGGCTGAAGCCTCCTCCCCCAAAATTAAATCCTGGATCCGCTAGTGCATACCTGCGTATCATACACAGATTGCTAGTAAGATGTAATACACCAATCTTTTCAATCATTAAGTTTTAATGAACTTGGCGAATAGCTTAACATTTCGACTGGAAGCTAAGGACTGAGCCACCAAGACAGATCTCAATGGAAGTCCCATCGATTGATAACCAACTCTAGATACATCTTGCTGTCACTTAAAAAACCAAGTCTATCAGTTTAGCAACCAGTAATAGTAAATATAGAGCAATGTTCTTTCATTTCCTTTTGTTATTCTGGGGAATAAAAAAAAAAATACATGAATGTGCGCGTGTGTATGAATAATTTTAATTAGATTAATTATAATATATCGACTTCTGGCGTGAAAAAGATTATTTAATTGTTCAACAAATGCTTACCTGAAGAAATTTAATACGATTTAGAAGGGCTGTAAAAGTGCGTAAAATATTAAAAAAAAAGAAGAAAATCGGGTAAAAACTAGGGTGGGAGAGAAAAGAAAACAATCCCAAGTAGGCACTAAAGAACCAACTCAAGTCACAAATTTCCACAAGGGTATAGGTTATATTTTTCTATCGAAAATTAATTATTGGATTTATTTGTTATTAAATTATTAATATTAATAATATCTAATTTTAATACATTTTATTTGTATGTATACATAAGCTTATTTAATATATTTTGATACATGTTCACTCCTAATAATCAGCGTATCTATTTGCCCTTAAAAAAATAAAATAAATAAAAAGAATTTTTAAAAATTCTCGTTTCAAACATACCTGAACTCCTGTTCCTCTGATTCATTAAATTAGGCTAAAAGTTTGATATAGATAGATAGATAGATAGATGAATCAAATTTATTCTGGGACAAAGTCCCTTGAGAATAACAATATTGTACATAAAATTAACATTACATCTGGCCAAAATGCATATTACAATAAAATAAAATAAAAACACTTAAAAAATAAGGGATAAAAGAAGTATTTACATAACTGTACAGATATAGTAAAGACATAATATGAGCAATAAGGTCCTAATACTGCAAAATAGTTGCTATAAACAATAAACTATGGAATTATAAATGAGCGACAAATAACTTTTGTTATCATGCCATTGTATTAATGAAAACAAAAAATAATTATAAAAGAGTGGATAAATATATACTTTAAATGATTTATACATATAGGTGTAAAAAGGCTTGTAATTTTAATTTCATTAAAATTATCCAAACGGAAGTAGTATTTTATTAGAATCCAATTTTTTTTTTAACTACAAAATACAACTGTCCGTTTTAGTTTACGAATGTATATCTTGTTTCTACAAATAAATGTTCTGCCTTAAGCCGGATAACAGAGTTACACGCCCTGTTGCTTTATACCAACTAAATAATCAACGACTATAGGAATTCAAATAAAAATAAATATATTAGATAAATAAGAAAAAAAAACCACTGTACTACTAAAAACCCATGAAGGATCTTTGGTTCAGTACAATGTGTGGGCAAGGTGGCCGAATGGGCTAACGTATGTGCACAGCACCGCCGTTGCCCGGCAACATACATGAGATTATTATATAAAAAATAGTCACGTGTTCGCGCCCCGGTGCCGCGGGAGTCTTTTAAATCCCTGTCCTCACTCCCTGGCCCGGGAAAACAGGCGAGGAAGGGGAGGACACACACACACAAAAAAAAATTCAGTACAATGTGTTATTTAATTAATTATTTAGTTAAGAGTACCCACTTTATAGAGGCTGGATTTGTCTCAGCTGGGTGGTTTCCATGCCCCAGGGTCGATTCACGGCTGATGAAAAATTACTAGTCATAAGAAGGATTCCAACTTAGGACCTTCAGCTCTCGAAGTCAGTCATTAGATAAATGAACATAAAATAAATCGGAATACACTATATGGTTAACGCAATTGATATACTCTTGAAAGAGTATAGGATATAAATTGATCACTATAAAAATTTTAGGTCATATCTAATTAATTGCATTTGAAAATGAATTGCAAAACTGAAAAAATACTCCTTTTATATCCGCTAGGCCATTAAGGTAAGTAAAAGTATTCTAAGAGATAGAATTGGAAGGTTTCTTTTGAATGGCGACAGCCCATCATCAAATCAATGAACGGTCTAATATGTTAGATGGAAGAGGCCTGGATTGGCCCTCAATACCGAGCGAGGGCTGGCCGGGCGAGGAAAGATGGCGCCCTTCTCTTCAGTGCTCAAGAGGGCCATTTTAACCTCTCAGTTGTATGGCATATTTCCTTACTCCCTGGACGGTAACCTGTTCCGGCTGTCCGTGGCCAGGCTGGTCTACTTCAGCTCGATGCTAGCCGTGACCCTCTACTGGATCGCCAAGGTCCTCGTCACCGACGTGCCGTCCTACCCCACCACCGCCGTCGACTACACCTTCACGAAGGTGAAGCTGTCAGTCTGGACCTTCACCACGATAGTCACCATGGTGGTCATGGTCTTCATCGGCCGCAGGCTCAACACATGGTTGACGATTGTCCTCAAGTGCCAAGAGATCAAGGGGCTATCTAAGATAGAATTTTCCCACCGCTACGTCTGGTCCCTCATCCACCACCTTACCCACATCAGTGTCATAATTGGCAAAATTACCTCCTACGACAGCTTGGAGTATACGAAAGCTACATACGGTACCTATTATTTAAACTTTGCTTCCATTGCTTTCGTCGATCATTTTACAGGTCAGTATCGATCATATTGATATACCTTAAGCTGGAAATGTTTTATAGAGCGTTGAAGGAGCAGAGGGATCGAGGCTGGTTGTGAAAATCTTGTAATTTTCAGGTTTAGTAGGCATCTTAACTGACTCCATGAAGGAATTGAATAGTGCCTTTTCGAAACCGACTTTGGAACAACTTGAAGCATCTGTAGTGGCTTACGAAAGAATCGCCTCAGGCTCTGGAGAATTATCCGAAGCATATGGAATCCAGGTCACAGTGTGAAGTTTACTAAATAATTTATTAAAGGGTAGTTGGTATAAATGAAATAAAATTATGATAGGTAAGGTATTTTAAAAATATTTCAATTAAAAATGATAACTCTTTCAAATTAAACTTTAACAAAAATTAGAAAACTTTTAGCGAACTTTGGCATTAAACTTCACCATTGGTTTAAAATTCTTCGGTAAATCCACTTAACGAAACGAATAAGTCAGAAGTTACACTTCATGTTATAAGTGTTTATAAATGACAAATAACAATACATTCTTTAAGAAACAAGTATCATTTAAAGTTAACTTCAATTGTAAATTTTCAAATTTTATCCAATCATAATAATGATTCGTAAATTTACAGGATGTTCGGATCCATACCTTCTCTACGGTACTTAGGCCTTTCTTACCTCTAGTATCAAAAAAAATTCTATTTTAGCTTTTAAATTCATAAAAAGTTTTTTTATATCATTCCAATTTCCCAGTAATGTTTGAACAGTATCGTTTACTCAACGGTGTTACCTTGTTCGACAGCTTTCAGTATGCAGTGGATTATATACAATTTTTATTTGAGAGTCAAAATATTCTGAATGAACTTATCCTTTGACAATATATAGTAAGAAAAGTCTATTTATACATCAATTGTACTTTTTAATTTTACAGCCGTATCAAAAATATATGCTTTCCATGTAAAAATAGGTTTTGTGTTCTTTGAAATAAAACAAATAAAAGCTAGATCTTATATATTACAGGGAAGTATATTCGATCCAACACTTTTAAAAATATATTGATCCGATAATGTACAAAACATCCGAAAACCCTGATGGCTGTATTTGCTTACGACTCAGCTGTTCTAGCATTCATAAAAGATGCCGCTAAGGTTCCTCAAACCACCAAGTACCATTTCTACATTAGGTGATGTGTTAAACATTTCTATTTTCACAGCTGTTGGTGATGGTCGCAGGAGATTTTATCTTAGTTACAAGCAATGCTTTCCTGATAGTCAACGAAACTGTGCCGTATAGAAAGATATGGTTTGCAATGCAATGCATTCTCCCAGCGATGACTACTTTTCGCCTGGTACATGCCTGCGTATGTTTGGTTAATGAAGTAAGGAAATATTTATAAATATCCTTCAGAATTATTTCTAAATTGTATATACCTAACAGTAAAAACAAATAGGGGGTCGTGGTGACCGTACAATATGTAGTGACAAGCGCCTATTTCACTTCTCTCCCACTTTGACCTGGAGAACATGAGATGAAACTAAAAAAATTAATGAACTATTTCATCAGATTTATTTTTGCTGTTACTAGATGCTTTCCTGTTCCAATCCTTGAGAAAAAAAAAAACAACCTCATCCTGAGTTCTTTTATTCATTCATTAAATACGAGATTGGAACCTTCCGATTTGTATATAATCACTTAAAGAACGGCTTCCTTTAAAGTCCTTTGTGATTCGAGCTACCTACTTTTGGAATTTCCTACCTAACTCCGTACTTAAAGCTCTCTCACTATCCCCTTTTAAACATCACTTATTTATTCACAATCTCCTCACCAATCTTACGCGTAAATTTAAATTTGTGTAAAAATGAATGAACATATATGTCTTCGCAATTTGTATTAATTTTATATATTTATTCTATTTCATTTGTTTTTATTCATTAATTTTTCTTTAGTTTATAACTCAATTTTTATTATTGCAGCCAGACAAATGCTGTTTATTATTTTAATGTAAATTTTCATTATTCCTAGAGCATTGGACATAAATGATCCCATGCTAATAAATTGCTATTTTGGTTTGATTTGATTTTTGAATTCTACCAATGCTTTGATTTAAATATAAATAAATATTTAATGTTATGTTTTTCAGAGCGAAGAATTCAACTCACTTCTTAGAAACACCTTAGTTGATAGAATGAACAGTAATTTGTGCCAAAGTGTAAGTAAATTACGCTACCATAGTAATTTTTGTTTACCCTTTGACAACTCCCGTATACTTATATTATCCAACGACTTAACCGATGTATTCGATCACTCACTAGTTTCATATGTAGATTTGATGTATACATATTATTTTGCCTTAAATCTGTTTTATTTCATAACAATTTATATGATCTTTATAACTATTGATTAAATTATGTTACGTAAGCGATAAAGTTATCAATATTTATATATTAATACTACGAAAACTTATAGAACGAACTTGTGGACACGTCAGAAAACAAATTGGTTAAATGATCTTTCATTAACGGGTTTTCTGAGATTTAGGACGAGTAACAGCGAATAAGAGGACCTTAGGGGCTAAAACTTTTCCGAAGAGAACAAGCTTGTTGTGAACTTAGCTTCACTTCGCACTGTGGGCCACCCATTTCAAGTAGAATGAAGCAATACAATTTAAGCCTATGAGAACTAGCAACACCTCTACCAATATGTATTAAATTAAATATGTAGTTTATATATAAAACTAAGGAAGTCGAAACGTTAATGTAGCGATTCCATCCACTGTAGTGCAGAGCAGACCAATGGAATTGCTGCGAATAATTCGGATGGTATATTGTTCAGTGACCAAATGGTAATATAATGAGAAAATAAGTATATAGAAAAAAAAATGAGAGGGAAGGTTTTTTTTCTCGCCAGATTAATAAGTATTTCATTAAAACTAAAACATATACAAGTCCAGCAGGCTATATCTTTACAATAGACCAGGAACTACGGACCATTTCATTTAACTGAAGGACTCACAGTTAGTAACCATTTTAATTTCTACATAAATCTCATCTGAAAGAAAATATATTCGGTTGCGTTTTGAAAACTGACGACGTCAAAGTCATCAAATCAGTCGAAGACAGGTGGATGAAGAAAAATTCAAATAGTCGGTTTCTCTTCGGCTTTTTGTGTTTTTTTTTTTTTTATATCCTTAATTTCATGTTCCCGAAAGAAATTTTCCTTTGCGTTCCGAAATATATGCATAAAACAGCGAAAATTCCGAATATTTTTTAGTTTTTTTGGACATAACTTCGAAACTATGCATTTCATCAAAATTGTTATTATATTAAAAATTAATGAAGATAAAATTTACTATCAAATTTATATATAGCTTGTTGATGTAGGACCAACGGGTGAGTTAGTTGTTACAGGGGTGAATTACAGACCTCTGTGAAGTTGGCCCCCCATCCTCAACTTTTTTTAAAAATTTTGAGAGTTCCTATAGCCCCCCCAAGAGTTCTAGAGTTCCCTATACTTTTTAGAAATAGTTCTATTGTTTAAACCACCGAAAATACCATCCAAAGTTGCAAAAAACGGAAATCCCGTTTTGTGCAACTTACGAGTCTTATAACACCTTTAATATTAATTTTAGAGCTAAACTTCTAAGGGATAATTATAACAATTCCTTGGGGGGCTATCAGAACTCTAAAAAAAAATTTAAATATAGGCCCCCCCTAAAAAGCGCCCCCCCCAAAATGAAAAATTCTAAATTATTTTATGGGTTTTAATAGCCCCCCAAATAGTTACAGAGTTCTCTGGTATTTAAAAAAAACTTTATATTGTTTAAACAACCAAAAATACCACGCAAAGTTACGAAAAAACGGAAATCCCGTTTTGTGCAACTTACGAGTGTTATAACACCTTTAATATTAATTTTAGAGCTAAACTTCAAAGGGATAATTATAACAATTCCTTGGGGGGCTATCAGAACTCTAAAAAAAAATTTAAATATAGGCCCCCCTAAAAAGCGCCCCCCCCCAAAATGAAAAATTCTAAATTATTTTATGGGTTTTAATAGCCCCCCAAATAGTTACAGAGTTCTCTGGTATTTAAAAAAAACTTTATATTGTTTAAACAACCAAAAATACCACGCAAAGTTACGAAAAAACGGAAATCCCGTTTTGTGCAACTTACGAGTGTTATAACACCTTTAATATTAATTTTAGAGCTAAACTTCAAAGGGATAATTATAACAATTCCTTGGGGGGCTATCAGAACTCTAAAAAAAAAATTTAAATATAGGCCCCCCTAAAAAGCGCCCCCCCCCAAAATGAAAAATTCTAAATTATTTTATGGGTTTTAATAGCCCCCCAAATAGTTACAGAGTTCTCTGGTATTTAAAAAAAAATTTATATTGTTTAAACAACCGAAAATACCACGCAAAGTTACGAAAAAACGGAAATCCCGTTTTGTGCAAATTACGAGTCTTATAACACCTTTAATATTAATTTTAGAGCTAAACTTCAAAGGGATAATTATAACAATTCCATGGGGGGCTATCAGAACTCTAAAAAAAAATTTAAATATAGGCCCCCCCTAAAAAGTACCTCCCCCCCAAAATGAAAAATTCTAAATTATTTTATGGGTTTTAATAGCCCCCCAAATAGTTACAGAGTTCTCAGGTATTAAAAAAAAAATTTATATTGTTTAAACAACCGAAAATACCACGCAAAGTTACGAAAAAATGAAATCCCGTTTTGTGGAACTTACGAGACTTATAACTCTTTAATTATTAATTTTAGAGCTAAACTTCAAAGGGATAATTATAACAATTCCTTGGGGGGCTATCAGAACTCTAAAAAAAATTTAAATATAGGCCCCCCCAAAATGAAAAATTCTAAATTATTTTATGGGTTTTAATAGCCCCCCAAATAGTTACAGAGTTCATTGTGATAACAATTATAACTCTTAGGGAGGCCATAGGAAAACTCATCAGAACTCCTGAAATCCAAAAAATTTTTATTTTACTCTTACTAAGTCCAAGGGGTGGAAAATTTATCTCGGAAAAAAATTATTCTGGTTGGTGTTCTAATAGCTCCTTGACGAGCACAACCGATAATTACTGGTGTGTTTTAGTCTAGGATGCGAAACGAAAAAGTTTTGGAGCATCGAAATATCGAAACATTTTTTTTTAAAATTGCGAGGCTTATATCTTTTGTTTGGTCAACTTTAGGGCAAAGGTTCATTATATTAATTTTTATAACTCTTAGGGGGGCCATAGGAAAACTCATCAGAACTCCTGAAATCCAAAAACAAATTTCGACCAAAATTTTTATCTTATTCTTACTAAGTCCAAGGGGTGAAAATTTATCTCGGAAAAAAATTATTCTGGTTGATGTTCTAATAGCTCCTTGACGAGTATAATATAACCAACAAAAATAAGTATAAGTTGACCAAACAAAAGATATAAGCCTCGCAATTTTCAAAATTTTTTTTCGATATTTCGATGCTCCAAAACATTTCGTTTCGCATCCTAGACTAAAACACACCAGTAATTATCGGTGGTGCTCGTCAAGGAGCTATTAGAACACCAACCAGAAAAATTTGTTTTTGGATTTCAGGAGTTCTGATGAGTTTTCCTATGGCCCCCCTAAGAGTTATAAAAATTAATATAATGAACCTTTGCCCTAAAGTTGACCAAACAAAAGATATAAGCCTCGCAATTTTCAAAAATTTTTTTTCGATATTTCGATGCTCCAAAACTTTTTCGTTTCGCATCCTAGACTAAAACACACCAGTAATTATCGGTTGTGCTCGTCAAGGAGCTATTAGAACACCAACCAGAATAATTTTTTTCCGAGATAAATTTTCACCCCTTGGACTTAGTAAGAGTAAGATACAAATTTTGGTCGAAATTTGTTTTTGGATTTCAGGAGTTCTGATGAGTTTTCCTATGGCCCCCCTAAGAGTTATAAAAATTAATACAATGAACCTTTGCCCTAAAGTTGACCAAACAAAAGATATAAGCCTCGCAATTTTCAAAAAAATTTTTTCGATATTTCGATGCTCCAAAACTTTTTCGTTTCGCATCCTAGACTAAAACACACCAGTAATTATCGGTTGTGCTCGTCAAGGAGCTATTAGAACACCAACCAGAATAATTTTTTTCCGAGATAAATTTTCCACCCCTTGGACTTAGTAAGAATAAGATACAAATTTTGGTCGAAATTTGTTTTTGGATTTCAGGAGTTCTGATGAGTTTTCCTATGGCCCCCCTAAGAGTTATAAAAATTAATACAATGAACCTTTGCCCTAAAGTTGACCAAACAAAAGATATAAGCCTCGCAATTTTCAAAAAATTTTTTTCGATATTTCGATGCTCCAAAACTTTTTCGTTTCGCATCCTAGACTAAAACACACCAGTAATTATCGGTTGTGCTCGTCAAGGAGCTATTAGAACACCAACCAGAATAATTTTTTTCCGAGATAAATTTTCCACCCCTTGGACTTAGTAAGAATAAGATACAAATTTTGGTCGAAATTTGTTTTTGGATTTCAGGAGTTCTGATGAGTTTTCCTATGGCCCCCCTAAGAGTTATAAAAATTAATATAATGAACCTTTGCCCTAAAGTTGACCAAACAAAAGATATAAGCCTCGCAATTTTCAAAAATTTTTTTTCGATATTTCGATGCTCCAAAACTTTTTCGTTTCGCATCCTAGACTAAAACACACCAGTAATTATCGGTTGTGCTCGTCAAGGAGCTATTAGAACACCAACCAGAATAATTTTTTTCCGAGATAAATTTTCCACCCTTTTGACTTAGTAAGAGTAAATAAAATTTTGGTCGAAATTTGTTTTTGGATTTCAGGAGTTCTGATGAGTTTTCCTATGGCCCCCCTAAGAGTTATAAAAATTAATATAATGAACCTTTGCCCTAAAGTTGACCAAACAAAAGATATAAGCCTCGCAATTTTCAAAAAATTTTTTTCGATATTTCGATGCTCCAAAACTTTTTCGTTTCGCATCCTAGACTAAAACACACCAGTAATTATCGGTTGTGCTCGTCAAGGAGCTATTAGAACACCAACCAGAATAATTTTTTTCCGAGATAAATTTTCACCCCTTGGACTTAGTAAGAATAAGATACAAATTTTGGTCGAAATTTGTTTTTGGATTTCAGGAGTTCTGATGAGTTTTCCTATGGCCCCCCTAAGAGTTATAAAAATTAATACAATGAACCTTTGCCCTAAAGTTGACCAAACAAAAGATATAAGCCTCGCAATTTTCAAAAAAATTTTTTCGATATTTCGATGCTCCAAAACTTTTTCGTTTCGCATCCTAGACTAAAACACACCAGTAATTATCGGTTGTGCTCGTCAAGGAGCTATTAGAACACCAACCAGAATAATTTTTTTCCGAGATAAATTTTCCTCCCTTGGACTTAGTAAGAGTAAGATACAAATTTTGGTCGAAATTTGTTTTTGGATTTCAGGAGTTCTGATGAGTTTTCCTATGGCCCCCCTAAGAGTTATAAAAATTAATATAATGAACCTTTGCCCTAAAGTTGACCAAACAAAAGATATAAGCCTCGCAATTTTCAAAAAAAATTTTTCGATATTTCGATGCTCCAAAACTTTTTCGTTTCGCATCCTAGACTAAAACACACCAGTAATTATCGGTTGTGCTCGTCAAGGAGCTATTAGAACACCAACCAGAATAATTTTTTTCCGAGATAAATTTTCCACCCCTTGGACTTAGTAAGAATAAGATACAAATTTTGGTCGAAATTTGTTTTTGGATTTCAGGAGTTCTGATGAGTTTTCCTATGGCCCCCCTAAGAGTTATAAAAATTAATATAATGAACCTTTGCCCTAAAGTTGACCAAACAAAAGATATAAGCCTCGCAATTTTCAAAAAAAATTTTTCGATATTTCGATGCTCCAAAACTTTTTCGTTTCGCATCCTAGACTAAAACACACCAGTAATTATCGGTTGTGCTCGTCAAGGAGCTATTAGAACACCAACCAGAATAATTTTTTTCCGAGATAAATTTTCACCCCTTGGACTTAGTAAGAATAAGATACAAATTTTGGTCGAAATTTGTTTTTGGATTTCAGGAGTTCTGATGAGTTTTCCTATGGCCCCCCTAAGAGTTATAAAAATTAATATAATGAACCTTTGCCCTAAAGTTGACCAAACAAAAGATATAAGCCTCGCAATTTTCAAAAAAATTTTTTCGATATTTCGATGCTCCAAAACTTTTTCGTTTCGCATCCTAGACTAAAACACACCAGTAATTATCGGTTGTGCTCGTCAAGGAGCTATTAGAACACCAACCAGAATAATTTTTTTCCGAGATAAATTTTCACCCCTTGGACTTAGTAAGAATAAGATACAAATTTTGGTCGAAATTTGTTTTTGGATTTCAGGAGTTCTGATGAGTTTTCCTATGGCCCCCCTAAGAGTTATAAAAATTAATATAATGAACCTTTGCCCTAAAGTTGACCAAACAAAAGATATAAGCCTCGCAATTTTCAAAAAATTTTTTCGATATTTCGATGCTCCAAAACTTTTTCGTTTCGCATCCTAGACTAAAACACACCAGTAATTATCGGTTGTGCTCGTCAAGGAGCTATTAGAACACCAACCAGAATAATTTTTTTCCGAGATAAATTTTCACCCTTTTGACTTAGTAAGAGTAAAATAAAAATTTTTTGGATTTCAGGAGTTCTGATGAGTTTTCCTATGGCCTCCCTAAGAGTTAAAATTGTTATCACAATGAACTCTGTAACTATTTGGGGGGCTATTAAAACCCATAAAAAAATTTAGAATTTTTCATTTTGGGGGGGCCGTTTTGAAGGGAGGCCTATATTTAAATTTTTTTTTAGAGTTCTGATAGCCCCCAAGGAATTGTTATAATTATCCCTTTGAAGTTTAGCTCTAAAATTAATAATTAAAGAGTTATAAGTCTCGTAAGTTCCACAAAACGGGATTTCCGTAATTCTGCGTGGGATTTTCGGTTGTTTAAACAATATAAATTTTTTTTTTAATAACAGAGAACTCTGTAACTATTTGGGGGGCTATTAAAACCTATAAAATAATTAAGAATTTTTCATTTTGGGGGGGAGGTACTTTTTAGGGGGGGCCTATATTTAAATTTTTTTTTAGAGTTCTGATAGCCCCCCATGGAATTGTTATAATTATCCCTTTGAAGTTTAGCTCTAAAATTAATATTAAAGGTGTTATAAGACTCGTAATTTGCACAAAACGGGATTTCCGTTTTTTCGTAACTTTGCGTGGTATTTTTAGTTGTTTAAACAATATAAATTTTTTTTTAAATACCAGAGAACTCTGTAACTATTTGGGGGGCTATTAAAACCCATAAAATAATTTAGAATTTTTCATTTTGGGGGGGGCGCTTTTTAGGGGGGGCCTATATTTAAATTTTTTTTTAGAGTTCTGATAGCACCCCAAGGAATTGTTATAATTGTCCCTTTGAAGTTTAGCTCTAAAATTAATATTAAAGGTGTTATAACACTCGTAAGTTGCACAAAACGGGATTTCCGTTTTTTCGTAACTTTGCGTGGTATTTTTGGTTGTTTAAACAATATAAAGTTTTTTTTAAATACCAGAGAACTCTGTAACTATTTGGGGGGCTATTAAAACCCATAAAATAATTTAGAATTTTTCATTTTGGGGGGGGGCGCTTTTTAGGGGGGGCCTATATTTAAATTTTTTTTTAGAGTTCTGATAGCCCCCCAAGGAATTGTTATAATTATCCCTTAGAAGTTTAGCTCTAAAATTAATATTAAAGGTGTTATAAGACTCGTAAGTTGCACAAAACGGGATTTCCGTTTTTTGCAACTTTGGATGGTATTTTCGGTGGTTTAAACAATAGAACTATTTCTAAAAAGTATAGGGAACTCTAGAACTCTTGGGGGGGCTATAGGAACTCTCAAAATTTTTAAAAAAAGTTGAGGATGGGGGGCCAACTTCACAGAGGTGAATTACAGCATGTTAACTGCTTGCTTATTTCACAAGAAATACAGTTTTCATCGGGTTTTTCCCCCCAATACTCATAACCTATACATCTCTGGAAGAATTTCATTATAATCAATTTGAAATAGCATTAAATTTCCTATTGACCCTATGGATCTCAGGCGATATTTTATTCATAATATCTGCCCACTCAACTTCAATACTTCTTATCTGTTCAATGCTTTAGATTCAGCTAATTTAACTATATATATAACAGAACAGGATTTATAAACAAATTACATAGCTTTTACATGTTCTGTTGGCATGAAGGACATCAGCGTTCGTTACAATATTAAGAACAATGAGGACCAAAATGCGGTTCAAAGTCCGCGCGGTCCAACGACATTTCGCCTGTTCGCATATTGTAAACTCTACATAAGCTTGAATTAAATTGAACTCTGGTATAATTGCTAATATATGAAAAGTTCAAGTCATTTGAGCGCACGGACTTCCAGCCGTCTATTTTTCCGTTAAACGAACCGCCAAAATTCGCCTCTTTAATTTTAATTTTCGTCACAGAAAGCAACGATTTTCAACCTACTGACTGAAGTTATGTGTTCAGGTGAGATTTCTCTACAATTTAAAATAGTTACTAGCTGTAAATCCTTCAATTAAATGTAATGGTCAGCAGCTCCTTGTCTGTAATATTAAGATGAATTTTTCTCCCAATGAAGTTAATTAAATATATTTTGGAATTATCATGGGCATAATTTGTATCTATTTTGAGTAATTTTCAAATTAAGTTTTGTTTTCTTCATAATTTTTTTCTGTTTTTTTTTTTGAGGATGTACTTACTTATTTGTGGGCTTTAGAAGACTAAGTTCAATAAGATGAGGACTCGATCATTGTTTTATCAATATTAGTTTTGTGTACCAAAAACAAAATACTATTGGCTAACCAATATAGAAAAATATATACTTTGTAAGCCTCAAGGCAAGTGTTGCGTATGTTCCACAACCATTATCAAAAGAAGTGATACAAAAGATCCTTACTAAAATCAGTTTCTTATAACAACCAACGCTCAGTTAGGATTTCACTGAGGATAAAGCTTTACTAAGTTTTATTGTCATTCAAGGGGGCAGAAAGAATATTTGAAACAATCAGATATAAGCCAACATACCGCCACTAAGCCCATTTATATGTTAAATGAAGGGATTGAAATGACTGTTAGGATCAATCGATAGGTCATTAACATCATTTAAGATACACAAAAGTACGCTAGCCATTCAAAAGTGGAAGAATTCCTTACTCCCAAAAGAAACAGAGCCCAGACCCAGCCAAGATTCCTGTATAGTTGAGCTAGTAACCTAAACCTGGCCATCCTCTATGACCATCCAAGATACAATATAACAACATTTTTTATTACTCTGTGCTGAAACTAAGCCAAGCATGGAATGGCATATATACGACACATTAATAAAAAAATAATGTGTTTAGTAGGCTACAAAAAGAAAAAAATATGTTATTAGTCTTGAGTTAAAAATATGTTAAGATTAGTGGCAAGTATTTCTACATTGTGGTACCAGCCTTAATCTTAAAGTATCCCATGAGCCCCAATTGGCCAAGCCACACCACTGGACTCATGTATCTCAGAATGGATTCAAACAAAACTATACCTACACCCAAGACCGACCTTCCCTTATTAGGGTTTTTTTTTCACAGTTTATCTGTATAAATTAATAATAAATAATTAAATGATTGCTCTTCTAAATAATTACATAACTTTTTCTTAGTACATTTCATGAAATATTTTAAACAATCACAAGGCCTTTCTTGATGTTCAGGCAAGGATAAGGCTCCATCTGTCGATGAGGAAGGAAATAGAATTCACAACCAGGGGATTTTTCACAATGGATTACAGTTTACTCACTGCGGTTTGTAACTTAATCAAAGAAGTAGGAATCCAACAAGTTTTTTTCTTAACTACTAATTTTGTTGCAGATGTTGGGAGCAGTTGCAACTTATCTCGTAATCATTATTCAATTTGGAGAAAGTCCAGTAGAACAAATTAATTAAATTATCATCACACTTGTAATTCGCATAGCACTTGCTACCTTGTGTATTGTATGAATAAATAGGATGATTATTTTAACCATTTGAAATTTTTCTTTGATTTATAACATAAATAACGCTACAAATTCATTTATTATTCTTCAATGACTTCAAAACACTTTAAATTATTCTTCGATCTTCATGAATGGTAGAGATATGGCTGTATGAAACGTTCCAAGGAATTATTGCCAGTAATGATGAGTTCCAAGGATTATTTTGTTGTTTTCTTTGACCAGTGAAAAATCTAAAAAAACAGTCAGTCTGGTAATTGTGAGAATAATCATTGATATGTTTATCTGAAACCTGTAAGATACTATTTTCTTTCGAAATGGTGGGTTGTAATGTCAGATTGACATATAATGAATTCTAGATGGACAAATATTTCTGTATTCTATTTTTGGATTTTACATATCATAAAACATAAATTTGAGATAAGGGGAAGGGGTTAAATTTATTTTTCTACTTTCCTAACACGGTCAATTTTTTGATATGCTGTTTTAAACAGATTTTTAAGATTCATACTCCCTGAGGCCAAATAACTCAAATTCAACAATGTGCTAGTGGGCGTATGTGTGTATCTGTGACGATTATACCTTCAAAGGATGGCTGATTTTTATTTTATTATTATTATTATTTTTTTTTTAATGTATTCAGCCACAAATATCTGTACTGAATTGATTGTACCCACATGAGATAGAAAGGTATAATTTTTATTTATTTCCTCTGGCCAATGGATAAAGGTTCATTATTGAAAATAATAAACCAGAAACAAAATATCACATTATATTTTTATATTTATTACCAAAACAGAAACTTTTTGAAAAACAATTTAACAATATTTAGATAGCTATTTATCATGTTTTTATAAAATAAAAAAAAAAAGTTAAAAATTACATAGTAGAAAAATTGTTGTACCAAAGAAATGAGTCCATTTGAATATACATTCTTAACCAAGATATGTTTTAGAAGGATATATAAATAGGAATAGAAAAGTACATAACAGATTATATGTGCACTATAGTAATATATATTTTACCAAACAAGATTAAATAAACCAAGACTTTACAAATTAATACTTTTCTTTCATAAATCACTTGATATGGCAACAATCAGTATTCAGTAAAACGATATATTACAGAGATAACAGAGATGCTACTGCATTATATCCAATATTTAAATAAACTTGTGTGCTCATACATTGGAAACACTAGACAAACATGAGTGAGCACTCCTTCATTCCAACTATAACAAATATGACACAATGTTATTTCCAAACAACAATATTGGTCCAATTCGTTCCGAATATGACACAATGTCATGATGAATCACAGTATTTGAAAAAAGATCAACAGAATTCTTTGATTTCTTCTTAATTAATAAATGACTTTATTCAAACAATATACATGGGTGACAGTCAGGGCGCAGGCAATTTTATTCATTTTTTCCAAATTTTCAACCCAATCATGAAATCCTTAACCCACAAGCTTGGGTTGAAATGTTGGCAATAAAAAAACTTTAAAATTGACTGTGTCCTGACTATCACATGTGACATATAGAACAGTCAACAAACTTCCATCAATAATTCAAATAATATACAAAAAAGTAAAATGAAATTATAATTTCATAAGAATATTATAGGATTGTTGGTATTTAATGTATTTACTTATTTAACCTCTTACACTGTAACTCCATTATTATATAGGCTGATTACCTCAATACCTCTTTCCTAGTTTAGTACCGAAATCAGCATGGTCAATATTATTCTGTTTATCTACTGACGAGTTATCTGACATCCCAGGCAAATAGTGTGCGTTAATTCTTTTTCTGATTGAATATAACAATGTATCTAATCTTAGAAACACAAAACTGATTTTAAATTGATCTGCAACATTATTCTATATAATAAATACAATACAAAATAAACATAACACTAAAAACATAAATGAGGAATATACCACAGAACAATGTTAATAGCTAAACTTTTAATATTATGAAAACCGCCAAAAAAGCATGATATGAGGAATTTAAATAACAAAAAAAGGGAATATATAATTCATAAAAAATATAATGCAATCTATTCATTTTATTTAATAACTACTTCCTCATATCCTAATATTACATACAATTTAGAAAACCTTTAAATTATGAAAAACAGCTTAATACACTCAACAGCTTGGAATGTGTTTGTATCTTTAGAATTATTGTTGGTGCTGGTGCTACATAAGAGCATACCATATAGTGGAAGTTAATGCAATCATTTTAATACAAGTATGTAAAATAATATTACACAAAAAGGATTAAGCAAAAATTGATTTGCTTTAAGTAAACAATTGTTATCTATTAAGATAGTTATTGAAACAACACATTTTATGACAATTAATCATTGTGAGAGAAACTAATCCATCTGAACTAATAAAACCAGATAAGTTGTAGCAGTAGATATCATCTGAAATAAAAATTACTTGATTATTTTCACTTAGATATAAGTAATAAAAACTAATATGCATAAATTATTCATCTTCAAAAAACAGATTAGTATTGATTGACGTGTTACCAATTCCTCATCTAGATGAGTTGATGAATTGATTAAAAAATCAAGAGTGAAAAAGCCAGAAGGATAGTCAATTAGTAAAATGAAACAAAGAAAAACTGAATAAAAACTCACAAACACTTTGATGAAAAAAGAAAAGAAAACTTCAAATTAAATTCAGAATTCTGATAAATTAGAGACTAATGAATATCACTTTCATAATTTAGTTTCAGTATAAAAAATAGCAACAAGTAAAACACCATCAGAGAATATATTGTAAATAGTTTTGAACTATATCAAAATTTTATTTTAAAAGTGATAGATATTACGGATTTATATTCCAAAAACCAATGTACCATATAAAATAATTGAAACGAGCAAGTCTAAGTACAAATGATAAATACTAACTGATCCAAGATTTTCAACTGAGAGATCAAAACATCCTGCAGCAGTGAGTTTGACAGTTCTATCAAACATCAAATCTTCTACTTTAATCTGCAAAGACAAAAAAGTAAATCAATAAATAAAATTATCATTAATAATTCCAAGAGTAACAATATTTGTGGTTTTGTATATAGCATGTTCACTTATAACAATATAAGTTGTTTCGTATATAGCATGTTCATTTTCTTTACTTTTTTTATTTTATTTTATTATTTATAAGCAATTATGTTTATTATAATACATCCTAGGTCATGGGAAAACAAGAAATAAAAGCTTTGGAACAGTAAATTGCTTTTTGTTTTTTTATGAAAATACGGGTACTTTTAGGTGATAAGATAAAAAAATCATATAATTTCTTTACACACCTTGAGGCGAATCTCAATTTTTTGCCTAATAAACCTTAACTTAACTAATATGGACTTAGTTTATTAAACGTAAAGTAAATTTAATCAAACAAAGTTTTCCTAATATTGGGATATCTATAATTGGATGACGATTAAGAAAAATTGCAAATATTTCTGATATTTTTTAAAACAGAACTTAACTTAGTTTAGCTACTCGAAAGTTCTCTTTAAATGTTTTTAATAATTACAAACTCTATTTTCATTTAAGGTAACTTTGTATAGTTTATAGTGCAGCAACTTTTAATTAATTAAATTATATATTTCTTTAGTTATCGTTTCCTTTTCAACAAAAAACATGACACTTAAAAAAAAACATAAAACTTGGATTTCCTACTTTCCTGCTGAAAATTAGGCTATTGTTTATATGAAATTTTTTGTAGCACTTGAAATCTGTTATCACTACTATAAAAATTTCCCTCTAATTACGGGAAACCCTTTAAAAAAGTATACATCATACAGCCTCTAAACCACTGTAATCAGATTCTAGGAGATATGACTCCTATGACCTTCAATACAGGGTAAAAGTATTATTTTCAGGAAAAAAATTAACAAAAAGTGTTAAGTTAAATATTTTATTTATAGTATGTTTTTAATATTGAGGGAGCGGGGTAGCTCAGTGGTAGGGCACTGAGCTTCCAATGCAAAGGTCCCGAGTTCGAACCCCGGCTCATGGCAGATAATTTATTTATCTGTTTCATTGGCCGTGGAGCGACCTTGGGTCAGGAGTCCCTCCTGGGGCACACCCAGCCTCTATAAAGTGGGTACCCTTAATTAAATAATTGATTAAGGGGGAAAACCTGGCGGATGAGCGTGATCTCGGTCATATCACCTCCTTGCACAACCGTTGACCTAGAAACAGTGCTTTCCCTAAATAGTACTGAACCCCAGACCCTTCATGAGTTGTAGTGGTACAGGTTTTTTTTTTTTTTTTTTTTTAATATTGAATTTTTTAATTGGTTAAGGCAATGTGAAAGGTATTTAAGTAACCTTCATTAAATTTTATTTTAAAAAATCTACAAGTGATTGAAAGTCGGTTTCTTCCTTTCCCACGTTTTTCAGTGAAAATAATTTCAAAAACTATTTAAAAAGTTTACAGCTCACAAGCTTATATTTAACCTAGATAATTAGACAATTTTCTAAAAACTTACTAGCTGGGTCCATGATGGAGGTCTAGTCTTCAATATCTCATAAAGGTGAATATCAAACTTTTCTATCTGATAAATAAAATAAATGTTATTACTTGACAAATTCTACCACAAAAAACTTTTAAATTTGTTTAATAAATAAAATATAAGTAATGAGTTAGTAAAGTAAGTTTGTAATTCACTAATGTCAGATAGATTTATTATATAATCTAATATTTATATAAATTAACAATAAGGCAACAGTGTACATCTAAAGATAGACAGACCAATTCGAAAAATCCTATAATATTTACACTGACAACAAAATATTAATTGGCTCTATAAAAATTTATAAAATCCAAGACTTACTGACTGAATGAATCAGAGAAAATCTAATAAAGATTATGGATAAAACCATAAAAGTATCAGTTCGATGAATAAAAGGTCACAGCAGAATTTCTG